GGTTGGAATTACTCGAGGCATTCCAGAATTATGCTGTAACATACATAGACACACATCTTGAACACTTTCGTTATAGTTTTGCTGATTTAGGAAGGTAGGTAATAACAACAGTGGGAGAAACTGTGCAATGGAAAAACATTCCAATTTTCCAATTCTAGTGATTTCAGTTAGCAAAAGATAATACTTACCCATTTCTTTGTCTTCTTGCACTCGTCTCCTCTCATTTGCACAAGCTTCCAGCCACTTTTTTTTATCACCTGGCTTTTTCCCACAAAATAGGTGAACTTCTTCCGTAGCGCTATTTACAACTTTGAAAGCATTTTTTATAGAGATATTAAAGTCTTTGTCTTTGCCATCCTCAATATCGACCACCTCCATTTCGTCCATGTCCATCCGGCCTTTGTAATACAACATGTCTCTTCTCAATAAATCTTTCTTGCAGAACACAAGCTGATGGTCAAAAAGAAAGAATGTTCTTTGCTGACTCTTCCCTTGTTTGGAGATTTTGGTCAATTCTCCCGAGTGGATTAATTCAGAGCTTTTGCCTAAGATGTCTTGCCCCTAAAGCATTTATAAAAAATAAAATAAAAAATGAAAAGGAGATATTAAATTTTATTAGCACCAAGAATGTTGTTAGACAGATAAATAATTCATCTTCTATTCATCTTTATGATATGACTTAGTCTCCAATATGATAACCACCAATCCTGAACTGCTTGCCATACTTTTTTTAAATCCCTATGTCAGCAAATACGGCAAATTCTTCGCTTACCAGAATGGGGAAGACTCCACCCCATCTCCAAAGAAAAATCATAGAGCTAGATGTCACCCAGGTTAAGTATCATCAATAGATTAAGAGTTACAAGACAGGAGATTCATTTCTCTCTCCTCCCCACCTCCATTTAAGCCAGTAGAATGGCCTCTTGTGTACATAAGAATTGGAAGATTATTTCCTGGTGAAGAACAGCCAGAGAGAGTATCTATCCCTGCCAGAGACCCTTGTGGAAATACTCTAGGGCAGGGCTGTCAAATTTACGGCCTGCGGGCCGGATGTGTCTTGTGCTGGCCACGCCCACACCTGGTTTAGCAAAGGGGGGGAAAGTTCCGATATGTCAAGTGACGTCGCCATGATGATATGAGTTTGATACCCCTGCTCTAGGGTGTTTGGTGGGAAATACGCTTTTCTCCTGTTATTCACTTGTCTGGAGCTATTATGTTAAGTCACTAAAACAAGGATTATTATTTTAAATATTATTATTTAAGTCCCTTAAGAGGAGAGCTAGGCTAGACAAAAATCAAGAGTTCAGTTGCACTTTTTCAGCCTAATATTTTTATTAAAAGGCATAAACTTACTCTTAAAACCTTATGCCTTTTAACCCTAGAGAAAGGAGGATAAAATATAAATCTACATGTAACCACAGCAGCTTTTTTTCTTTTCTTCCTTTCTCTTTTCTACTTCACTTTGCACTTTTTTCTTTACATTCCTTACTTTTCGCTTTCAAAAATTTCTATTTTTATTCTTTTGATTTAAAAAAAAATAAAAATTACTGAGAAATTTTTTTCCTACTGAAAAAAAAATTGGTCTTTGCCTCTGTCTCTTTCTCTCTGTTTCAAAGTTTGTGACTATGTTAGTGAACCTCGTTTTAGTTGTAGCAATATGTGCAGAGGCCCTAAATGGTAGCTGACCTCTCCAAAACAGAATTAAACAGGCTGATTCAAATGCTTACTGAATTCTGACCTAAGTATACATAATTGCATTGGATTTTAAATCAAATTACCTCTTCAATCTAAGGGTCATCAGAAAAGTACCTAAGAATTTCAAGATATTATTACACTTCTAAATAGTGCCTGATGTTCCCGGATCATGGACTATGATTGCCAAACTCTCTCAAAAAATGAGAGATTAAAAAAAAGCCCCTCTAAATTGCCATTTCCTGTTTCTTGCAGCAGTTTTACCAGAGTTGTTTTTTTAGTTGTTTTATCAGAAACACTAAAAATCAGGAGAGCCCAGTCAAGTAAAAAAATGCCTCTTTTGTACAAATTATGTCCTCAAAATGTTAGAGTGAAGAAAGAGTAACCAGTGTTCAGGAAAAGGAAAAACGTACATTGACTCCAATTCACAGTGAGTCCAACTTCACCTCTTCTCAATTTCAAGTATAAAACCAAGTTTACACCCAGTTGCCATGAGAATCACTGTAAAATCTCCAAATAACTAAATAATGGAGTTAAGTTTCTAACACTGTTTCTTGGTTTAGCATGATTTTCCTATCCTTATAATTTTTTTTCTGAAGCCTTTTTTGGGGTAAGCATTAACAATGTGGTGTAGCTGAGTTGTTTTTAGGGAATCAGCCCCAATGAATCATTTGAGAAAAAGGAAAGTGAATTAAATTAATAATTTCAAGTAAATCATAATCACCACAATGGAAATCAAGAAACACCTTTTCAGAGCAGAAACTGCACAAAATAAGACAACACCCTCTGAAACAGTTGGGAGAAACCCTGGGTCTTCAAGCTTGAAAAATGACTGGCAATGTCCTCTCACCTCCCAGTTGACAATGGAGACTTGCCAGCGAGCAATCTTGTCTATGCTTTCCAGCCTTCGTTTGCGTTCATTGATGAGGCACGCAACGTTCTTCATGGCTTCATATGCTGCCTTGATATTGTTATAGTCACTGTCAAAGAAAGAAAGATATTGGTCAATCCCGGCAGAAGATGCATCTTATTCACTTTCTAGATTGATATCCTATTCCAGGGGTCGGCAACCTTAAATACTCAAAGAGCAACAAACGTCCTAACCGGAAGCCCCACACCCCCCGTTTGATTTTGGAGCCGAATGGAAGTCTGGTTCCCCCACCATAGAGTCTCCTCCTAGCGCTGCATCCTTTTTCCTCTACCTGTCCTAACTGAAAGCTCTATCAATTATGGAGCTGACCAGCAACAGGCAGCCGCAGCAGAAGGATTGAAGAGCCACATGCGGCTCCAGAGCCGCAAGTTGCTGACCCCTGTCCTACTCTAATCCCAAAGGTGTTTTTTTTCAGGAGGCAACTGGACTTTGTTTCTTTCTTTCAAAAACGTTTTGCTGCTCATCCATACTTTTAGCTATACAATTTGGGATGGACACCCTTTGAATGAAGTGCGAGTAGGAATGGATTTCCAGAGGGGAAAAAATTGCAGACTACAGGAGCCAAGAGCGCTACTCAGGTGACCTTGAGGAAACAGATAAACCTCCAAGTGCTTCAACCACCCTCTGAAAGGATACAAATGACCAGCTGTCTGCAAGGAATATAAATCCTTCCATTCTCCACTATCCTGTCAGAGCTGAAGAAGCTTCTTGGATGAGAAGCGAAACGTCTTCAAAAAAACAACAACAAGAATGTCCAGTTGCCTCCTAAAAAAGCACCTTTAGAGACAACCATGACCTGGATGGCTGAGAATCTTCGTGGCACGACAAAACCGTGGTCCACTAAAGCGTGCCCGATTAAAGCGCGTCGCTGACGTCATCAGCAGCGCGACAACAGCGACCGCGGAGAAAAAAGGGNAAAAAAAATACACCTTAAAAGGCTAATATCAAAATTAAGTATGAACAGCACAATGAACAATTGAGCATCAAAACTATTGTCCGCCTGGCTGAGTATTTTCCAGGTGAATTAAAATTTCAGCTTCTCTAACCAATAGCCAATGCTATTTTGGAATTAGATTCAAAATCCAGCATACCTGGAGGGAAGGAGGAAGGCCTATTTTAAAGGATATGTTATGTTATGTATATGTAGCATGCTTGTTGTTATTAAAACTATCTGTTCATATTTAGACATTCTTGTTAATAAAGACATTTCAATGTGTTAAAAATGAAGATTCCCCAATTCCTTTCAATATAACTATAAAATCAATCAGAACTAATCAACACCTGCTGTTAGCATTTTCATTATATCAGTTTTTATTGTCTATTGCTGACACTGTCAATTGTTAAAACTCATAACATCGTGTGTGCCTATATGTAATAAAGGTAGTTCTCCATTTGTGTCCGACTCTAGGGCACGGTGCTCATCTCCATTTGTTGGCTGAGGAAGCTAGCATTGTTCTGAAGACATTTCCATGGTCATATGGCCAGCATGACTATATGCCGAGGCACATGAAACACTGTTACCTTCACACTGAAATGGTTCCTATTTATCTACTTGCATTTGCATACTTTCGAACTGCTAGATGGGCAGGAGCTGGAACAAGTAACAGGAGCTTGCCATGTCACATGGCACTTGGGTCTCAAACCTGGGCTGTCAACTTTCCAATTGAGAAGCTCAGCATCTTTAACCTCTGAGCCACCGTGCCCCCTATATGTACATACAACGGCACAATGAAGTCAAACTTTGGAACTACCCTGACTGGTGGCTAAGACACTGAGCTTGTTGATCAGAAAGGTTGGCAGTTCGGTGGTTCAAATCCCTAATACAGATCTTCTGTGTGAGCAGTGGGTTGGACTTGATGACCTCCAAGGTCCCTTCCCAACTCTGTTACTGTTAACTACTGAATCTCTCTAAGTTCAGTCTTTAATACTGAAGCATGTCTGTTGAAGCAGAGACTGAAAAATGTTGCAGTTTAGCTGGATGGCAACCTCTCCTCGCTATATCTGCTCAGATGTAAGTTACAATTAAATCAAAATGGTGTGCTTTCTAAACTTCTATTGAGGAATGGACTCAAATATGTGTTTTACGTTTTAGCTTACCTAGTTGGAGCCATAGCTCTTCATACAGTTTACCCTTTCTTTTGGGCCAAGCTGGCTAAGAAATTGTAGTCCAACCTATTTAGGAAAGGCTGATAGTTTTTGTTTTTTTAAAAAAAGAACCCACCCCAAACTCCCCAACCTTTGTAACAAAAATAATATAAAAATGCCTGAATTTGTTTTTGTTGTCATAAGTTGCTTATGCATTACTCTGAACTGTAGTTTTGTTAACCATGGCTTGTTTAAACCAAGGTTTAAATCAGAATTGGCTGGCATGCTCAACGGACTGAGGCATGAGCCATGATTTACAAATTGCAAAGCCTGGGTTAGTGTAACAGACTAAATTGAACACATCCATTCTGGCTTAGGGCTAATTACATACCCACCCTATTTTCAAGATCCAGTGTTTTACTAATAAGCATGAACAATGTAAGGCTACAACAGAGGGGGTGACCAAGAGCATGCCGTAAACCCAAACTGATGGCAGTAGTCTCAAAGGAGGGTATTTTTAAGCAACCCCGTGTAAAAAAAAAAACAATTTCATTTCACAGAAGAGAACAAACCAAACCAAACCAAGGACATATCATTTTAATAGTCTATAAATAGGCCATGTTTCTAACCAAGTTTAATCAAAATTCATTTCTAATGTCACCAGATGGTCCTAGTGTTTGTTGGATACTCTTAGCATAATGCCAAAGGGATAATTGCTAAGCCTCTTCTGGCTTTATCTGATGCACATAAGAGCAACCACATAAAAAGATCATTTTGGAACTTGCTTAAAGTCAATTTTGTAAGAAACCCAGATGGAATGAGTCCATTTATGGGATTGAGTAAAAACTCTCTCAGGTTGCTTTTGTCATATCCTTATCTTTGTATAGTTGCATTGGTGCCACTTAAGGCACTCCTAAAATTGAAAAAGAAATACTTTCATTTTTTTTCCATAAAGTACAAGCAGGCACACCGGAGACCAATGATGAAGTTTTCACAGACTCAAGAGCCAGAGATAGCAAAATCCATTTCTTGATGAATAGAAATGCATACAGCAAAATATCGTTTTTGGTAAGACTCCACCCTGTGTCCAAGGGGGACTTTCTTCATATAAAAATATATGTTTATGACACCGATTTCACATTTTCTTCCTTTTGCCATGAATGTGCCTTGGAGGAAGTCTAAGTCTCATTTATCAGAAGAACACAGCAAACAAAGACAAATAAGGAAGAACTAAGCAGTTTTCTCAGTACCGACAACTTGATGATGTAAGAGCCATAGGAAGGATGAAACCACCTTTGCCAAATTCTGCACAAAGGCGGAGAGGCTATCTTTCCTGTTCTTAAATTTGGCCAATCCATTCACTATTAAGCCTGTCAACATGACTTAAAAGTTTTGAACCATTCCTTTGGTACAAGGATGACAAATGCACGTGACGTTTTTTGAGAAAGCAGCAATTTGCTAGTGTGGTCAAGTAGCAATCCTCCCCATCAGTCTGTTTATTGATTCAGGACCACATCCGTTTCAGATCATTCACTCTCTCCTTCGGTAAACCACATCTTCTTCATGTTGCTCAATGAAGGTTACGGTGGAAAATCAGAAACCAACCAAATCATCTTCTCTCCAGGGCAGAATCCAGGTTATCCAACTGGACCAACCAAAGCTTTGCTAGCAAACCGTCCACCTTTTCCAGATGGCCTCTCAGGCCATGGATGTTGGGCTGTTCATTTCTTAAATGGTGTCAGCTTGTTAAAAGTGTTCCAGAAAAGGGATGGTTTCCGCTTTGGTTCTGCTAGGGCAAACACCTGCTGCTGTGGAATACTGGTGGGCACGGTAACATGACGCTGATGGATAGGATGCAAATTTTGGTGTAGTGGTGGCACTCGGCATCCATTATAGCGGACACCTGTAGAAGAAAAACAGTATAGAGAGATCATAATTCAGGAGCTGTTCACATGATACTTTTTGTTATACATCAGGGAGTAGGAATTTGAGGCCAAGGGCAGTCTCACCATTATTCCTGAACTAAACAAGATGCATGGTAAATTGGAGCCAACTCCCTTTGCTGTCCACAACAGTTCACTCATTATGGTTAGACTGCCTAAGTAATTTGCTGCCTAAGTGACCATTTCTGGAGTATTTAAGTGACACTCCAGAAAACAGGCTTAAGATACAGAAGGATCTTGACAGACTTGAACATTGGGTGCTTTCTAGCAAAATGAAATTCAATGGTGAAAAAAGGAAGTTTCTACCTTTAGGCAAGAAAAACAAAATGCACAGGTACAGTATATGTGGTACCTTGCTCAAGGGATCTTGGAGGCCTAGTGGACAACCATTTAAATATGAGCCAGCAGTGTGCAGCAGCTGCCCAAAAAGCCAACACAG